GGAGGCAGGACACAAAAAAATAAGAGAGCCAAAGGTCACCCGTAGGAGTTAACATGCCTAATCAAGGAACAACAATTTCATTTCCTTTAGGAGCCTAATGCCTTTTTTTCTTCATCAGGAGGACGTCCCCCTGCCCCCCCCCCTCCTTCCAAGAAAAAAATCTTAAAAACAATGTCTTGAGTCAAGAAACAGTCTCTCCATAGATTCACATGAACTGGACCCTGAATTTTGCAGCAAGTATTTCTGATCAATAACCCCCCGAGGATGTGAATCCATGGGCCCTCTGAGAACTGTGTTACCTGCTGAGAGGAGAGAAACACACACAGCACAATGAAAGCCGCCTTCCCAGGGACCATTTCTGCCCCACCCTGACAGCCCTGCTTCCCCAAACACTCACCCTGAATTCCCCTGCAGGAAGCAGTCGGGAGCAGAATGCGTGTTGAGCCGACTGCACGCACGGGACACTTGCCTGTTGCCCTCTAACTTGTATCATTCATTCAAAACACGCTAATTTATAACGTTCAAAACACGCCAGCCTTCTGTTCAAAGGTCAAATTGTCTCCACAGAAACAGCAAGCAGCACTTTCGCTTTCAGGCCCCAGTAGGTGGCGGGTCTGGGCAGAGGCTGTGTAGAAGTTTCCCATTTGATCACACAGCTCAGGTTTTCCGTCCTTGGCTCCACCTCTTAACTCCCAGCTCTAGTCTCCTTCGCTGCAGTTCCTCCTGGATCTTCTGCTCTAAGTCTGTGGCCTCTGAGGCAGCTGCCTTTTGGGTGGCTTTTAAAAAGGTGAAACCCAAACACCCATCTTCAGAGCAGTGTGGGTTTTAGACTCCCTGGAAATATTGGGGTGGGGTGGGTGGAGACACTTTGTAAAATATGTGATCAAAGTATATGATAACCATTATGCAGTACACCTGAAACTAGTACAAAATATTAACTGAGTGTAATTTTTTAAAAATAAAATTTAAAGTTTTTAAAAATATATGTATATAGCCCTGGGGGGCGGCGGGGGGGGGGGCGTGGCTTGAGGGGTTTTTTTGGCGGGGGCGGGGTGGGGGTGTCTTAGCTGGTTGGCCACATCCACTGCACCAAAAGGTTGCCAGTTCAATGTTGCACTCTCATATCAGAGTGTCTCTCTCTCTGGCCAGACCTGGAAAGTGTAGATTCCTCAGATACATATTTTAATTTCTAGAATAAACACACAAATGTTTGATTAACACAAAAGGAGACAGGTGATCTGAGTATTTTGGCTGTGTAACAAACCACCACAAACGTAGAGATGTGCAACAGTAATTTATTTTGCTCATATATTCTGTGGGTCAGGAATTAGGACTGGACTCAGTGGGATCTGCTTGTCCCTATACCATGATGTCTGGTATCTGAACTGGAAGGTCAAAGGCAGGGGGATAAAATTAGCAGAAGGCTTATTTTTTCATGTTTGGAAGGTGATG